GGCGACAAGAGTCTGCCGGCGATTTCGGCGGCGAGGGAGGGTTTCGACGTGGTCATGTCGACCAGGACTCCTCCGGGGCGGAGCTGTGGAGGACCCCCGTGGTGGGTTCGAGGAGACGGCCCATGACTCCGGTGCCGATCCAGCCGACGCGGGTGTTGGAAGGGGAGACGGCGACGGCGGCGGCGTCGACTGCGGTACCCATGGAGCGGCGGAGGGAGAACAGCACAGAAGCCAGAGAACAACCGACACAACGACGGCAGCAAAACTCCCTCTCGCCGGAAACTTCCCTGGATCTCTCCTTACCAGCAGGCGGCGTGAGGGACAGAAGGGTGCGGCTGTCCATCGCCACCTCCAGGAAGTTCTTCGATCTGCAAGACATGCTTGGCTTCGACAAGCCTTCCAAGACCCTCGACTGGCTCCTCTCCAACTCCGCCGCAGCCATCCAGAGCCTCTCACCCTCACCCTCTTCACAACAACACCAACACTATTCATCCTCCTCCTACAGCCACAGAGGAGGTGGAGGAGACAAGTGTTAGTAGGCGAAAAAGTTAAACTGCTCACAGGTCAATTTGTGAGTAGATACTCACTGACCCATGAGCCAAGAGGAGAGAGAAAAGGGCCACTTTTTGGGTGAGCCGAGAATTTGGGCAGAGGAAGTGGGCGGGTTTTGGGCGGCCCGAAATTTTGGGCGGGAGGTGGGCAGCTTTTTGGGTGGCCCGAATTTTTGGGCGGGAAGTTGGAAAAAGGAAGGAATAATTTGGGTCTGGTGGGGGCGGCCCGAAATTTTGGGCGGGAAGTTGAATATGAAGGAACAATTAGGATTTGGTGGCTTGCAGCTTAGTAAGGGCTGCTCGCCGAGGGCCCATGGGCCGAAGGCTCATAAAACAATTTTTTGGGCCGATATTGACATGACCTGATAGGATATGTTTTTGTAAAAGGACGAATATTGGTATGACATTATGAGATACTAGTCTGGGTTTTACAGATATTTGTTGACATGTGTTGGCATAATATCAATTCCTAATTCCCTTAAGTTTTTTTTTACACTCGTTCAGTTATGCATTGTCATTAATAGTTGTCTTGTGCAGGGATGTTTGTAGGTTTTCGTCGTCGATGGTGTAAAACAATTTTTTGGGCCGATATTGACATGACCTTATAGGATATGTTTTTGTAAAAGGACAAATATTGGTATGACATTATGAGATACTAGTCTGGGTTTTACAGATATTTGTTGACATGTGTTGGCATAATATCAATTCCTAATTCCCTTAAGTTTTTTTTTACACTCGTTCAGTTATGCATTGTCATTAATAGTTGTCTTGTGCAGGGATGTTTGTAGGTTTTCGTCGTCGATGGTGTAAAACAATTTTTTGGGCCGATATTGACATGACCTGATAGGATATGTTTTTGTAAAAGGACGAATATTGGTATGACATTATGAGATACTAGTCTGGGTTTTACAGATATTTGTTGACATGTGTTGGCATAATATCAATTCCTAATTCCCTTAAGTTTTTTTTACACTCGTTCAGTTATGCATTGTCATTAATAGTTGTCTTGTGCAGGGATGTTTGTAGGTTTTCGTCGTCGATGGTGTAAAACAATTTTTTTGGCCGATATTGACATGACCTGATAGGATATGTTTTTGTAAAAGGACGAATATTGGTATGACATTATGATATACTAGTATGGGTTTTACAGATATTTGTTGACATGTGTTGGCATAATATCAATTCCTAATTCCCTTAAGTTTTTTTTACACTCGTTCAGTTATGCATTGTCATTAATAGTTGTCTTGTGCAGGGATGTTTGTAGGTTTTCATCGTCGATGGTGTTCCTTATGGTTGAGAGACTACTTAAATTTTGGATATTTGTCAGCGTTGTCCCGATATTTATATGCTATTGTTAAATATTACTTTGTTTAGTTGAGATATTAATATTGGTTTGAGTGGATATTAGTCTGGGCACTAAATTCTTTCTCGTGCTTTGTAATTTTTTTGGCCGATATTGACATGACCTGATAGGATATGTTTTTGTAAAAGGACGAATATTGGTATGACATTATGAGATACTAGTCTGGGTTTTACAGATATTTGTTGACATGTGTTGCCATAATATCAATTCCTAATTCCCTTGAGGTTTTTTTACACTCGTTCAGTTATGCATTGTCATTAATAGTTGTCTTGTGCAGGGATGTTTGTAGGTTTTCGTCGTCGATGGTGTTCCTTATGGTTGAGAGACTACTTAAATTTTGGATATTTGTCAGCGTTGCCCGGATATTTATATGCTATTGTTAAATATTACTTTGTTTAGTTGAGATATTAATATTGGTTTGAGTGGATATTAGTCTGGGCACTAAACTCTTTCTCGTGCTTTGTAAATGTAGTTTGTTGGCTGAAAAAAGACGCAAGGAGACTGAGTCAGACTACAATGGGAAACAATCGGTTCCTTATATTATGATGGAGGATAGCCCGTTCCTACAACATGCGGCAAAGGTCTTTACTCCTAACATCTTCAATCGGATACAAAATCAGTATTTGAAAACTCAACCCTATCTAAAGGTCTTTACTCCTTGTGCACGTACTTGCGCTGCGACTTCAGCATCTTCTTCTTCCTCATCCTCCTCTGGCTGTGGCGGCGGTGGATTTCGTCGATGTCTCTTCACGTTCGTTTTATCCCTGCACGTACAAATATCTAGATATATCAAACAATTATCCAAGCAATTCACAACAGATGCCATGCTGGTTAAAAACCAATATCCAGATATATCAAACAATTATCCAGGGAAATCACAACTGATATCATGCTGACCAAAAACCAATATCCAGATATATCAAACAATTATCCAAGCAATTCACAACAGATATCATGCTGGTTAAAAACCAATATCCAGATATATCAAAACAATTATCCAGGGAAATCACAACTGATATCATGCTGACCAAAAACCAATATCCAGATATATCAAACAATTATCCAAGCAATTCACAACAGATATCATGCTGGTTAAAAACCAATATCCAGATATATCAAACAATTATCCAGGGAAATCACAACTGATATCATGCTGGATAAAAACCAATATCCAGATATATCAAACAATTATCCAGGGAAATTACAACTGATATCATGCTGACCAAAAACAAATATCCAGATATATCAAACAATTATCCAAGCAATTCACAACAGATATCATGCTGGTTAAAAACCAATATCCAGATATATCAAAACAATTATCCAGGGAAATCACAACTGATATCATGCTGACCAAAAACCAATATCCAGATATATCAAACAATTCTCCAAGCAATTCACAACAGATATCATGCTGGTTAAAAACCAATATCCAGATATATCAAACAATTATCCAGGGAAATCACAACTGATATCATGCTGGTTAAAAACCAATATCCAGATATATCAAACAATTATCCAGGGAAATTACAACTGATATCATGCTGACCAAAAACAAATATCCAGATATATCAAAGAAACAATCCAAGCAAAATACAATGGATATCCATAATCAAAATAAATAATATCGGAACGCACACAAAACAGATTATAACATGTATAAGAGATTTAGAGTGCACCATTGATAAATCTCTGCACATACAAATACCCAGATCCTATCAAACAACTATCCAAGAAAGTCATAACTGATATCATGCTCAAACAAAACCAATATCAAGATACATTAAACAACAACCCAGGCAAAAAACAACGGATATCCACACTGTTCCGAATTCTCATCAAAATAGGCAGGAAGTTTCTCCAGAAGCACACTCTGTAGCTCCTGCTGGATTGCCGGAACTAGCAACAGATTCCGCACCAAACTCTCACCTCTCACGCCGGAGGGCGCAAGAACTCTAGCAAAAGAACAACACACCATTTCCTAAACTCAGGCAGCGATATTCCAAACTGGCGAAGCGAAAATCAGGCACTAGTAAGGGAAATAGTCGACCTACCTTTGAAGAATTTGACGAGAATCGATGTAAGAGGAGAATCCAGCCATGAAATCAGAACAGAGTGAAGAAGAATCGCTGCCGCCGCCCCCATCGGAAGACGAAAACCGGCGGTTGAGATGAGCTCGGAGCTTGTGGGGGTCGGAGGGAAGACACGGAGGACCTAGTGGATTGATCAACGTGCATCCGGCATCGGCGAGAATCGACGCCATTTTATCGATTGAAGCTAGGGCGTCGCCGTTGCGGCCTGCTGCTCTCGTGGACGACGACGCCGATGTCTGCTGCTGGTCTGGTTTAGGGATTTTGGCGGCAGGGAAAGGAGAGACGAAGGGAGAAGAGAGAGGGGAAGTGAGAGAGAGGGGAAGTCGAAGTGGGGGAGAGAGGGGAACTGAATTATGAGATAGAGGGGAACAGTTTTTGAATTTTGAATTGTGGGCCCGGTGGGCTTGGTCAGCCGTGGGCTCGACCAGCCGACCCAAACCGGGTCATCTTCCTCTACCCAAACCAAGAGCCAACTTACCCTTGCCCACGTGGACAACAGATCCACCGTGTGAGTATATACTCACACTTCCCCCTGTGAGCAGCATAACTACATTGTTAGTAGGAGGGCCAAGGCAAGGGCAAGAGCCAGGGACAGAACCAGCAGCAGCACCTCCAGATCCAAGCAGCTCACACCTCAGACTACAAAACCAACATTGCCACTACCTTCTCCACATCAATACTACCACTACCACAACAACAACAACAACAACAATTCTAGTACTAGCACTTGCAACAATTTCGGGGTTCTGCATCAACAACAACAGCCACAACAACAACAACCATCAAGCAAAAGAACAGAACTAACAGTTAACCTCCTCTCTTGCAGTGGTTGGTCAATTTGGAAAATTCCAGATCGGGCAAGCATGCTGTCAACGAGTTCCAAACTCGGTTGCTCTTCAACCAAGCTTTCAGCAGAGGCCTCCAGATTTCCATGATTCTGCAGGGAAGGAAAGATAAAGACGATGAAGCAGCTAAGAAAGATAAACAGCCACCCCCAGCTAAATAGACATGTTTTCCCCTGGTCATTCTGCCTCCACAACTTCAGTCACATATTCTTATTAGAACAAGAAAATCTCACACATTCATTTCTTAATGCTTCTCTACTTGGATCCCAAAACATAGGAAGGAACCAAATTGTGAAACGATCTCAGTGTTTGTCTTTCTAGAGAGCTGAACAGTTCTAAGAATGAAGGTTATCAAAATGTCAATCATTCATCTGAAATAGGAGTAAAATCAGCCGCCATAGAGGATGTTCCAACAGCCTTTGAAATCTTCACCTCAAGTCCACCATCAGGATCATCACCTACATATCACAGGATTCGAATTTTACTTAATGCTTCCTTAGATTGAACCATATCAAACAAAATATATTCTTAATTAGCTTACTTGGAAACCCATATAACCAATTGCGTGTGGTTATCAAAGCTTCGGCGTTCTCGGGCAAAAGAGAGCTTCGCCAGCTGTTTAACACTCTCCCTCCCATACTGAAAGCCGTCTCCGATGCTACGGTTGTGATTGGAATGCTCAAAACATCTCTGGCCAAGTGAGCAAGCTCTGGAAACCGAGATTCATTATTCTTCCACCAGAGAAGCACGTCCAATTGTTGTTTGCGCTTGAGCCTCTTATCATCTAAATATTCATCGAGTTGTGTTTTATCGCCCAAGAACTGGTTTTCTCCAAAAGAATCAAACTCCTATGAAACAAATAACTCATATTAGTAAATAAAAATGGATTAAGAGAGAAAAATTAAGAAACATGTTTACTTACATCCATATCATCTCCATAGTCAACATCTTCACTAATATCCTCAGCAAATGATGGAGATTGATTAGTAGAATCACCATACAACTTCAGTAAATCACATATCTTTCCTCTAAGCTCATAGCACTTTGCTTTAGCAACATCGTTGTCCCCATACAACTTCTCATAACAAAACTTCACAGAATCCAACTTGTACCGTGGATCAAAAACCACTGCTATGGAGAGGATCGTACTATAGGAGTCCCAGTACTTATCAAACTTCTGCTTCATTGATAAAGCCATATTGCGAATATCACTATCCATGCTTTTAGATGCCTCCAACAACCGCATTTGAATCCTCCATACATTGCAAAAGTACAAATTCGAAGTAGGATAATGCACTCCAGAAAAGAGATTAGTGATATCATTAAAAGGTTTCAAAATCTTCTTAATTTTCTTGATCTTCTCCCATTCCACATCTAACGACAATCGCTCAAAATTTCGGTCAACCAACTTCAAATGCTGAAAAGCACGACGATAGAGCTCAGCTCTTTCAAGCATCATGTATGTCGAGTTCCATCTAGTCGGACAATCTAACCACAACCCTTTTGAACTCAAACAGTTACTTCTTTTTGCACAATCTTCAAAGACAATCATTCGAGATTCAGACCCCTTAACATATTTCACCCACTCCCTAATTACATCTATTGAAGCTCGAATTTGTTTTAACCCTTCATTCACAATCAAGTTTAGAATATGGGCTCCACAACAGATATGAAAATATTCCCCATCACATACCAAAGCATCATCTTCTTTCAATTGATCGATCAACAAACTTTGCATAACATCATTGCATCTGGCGTTATCCAATGTAATTGAGAAAATTTTCTTCTCAATTTGCCACTCTTTCAGCAAATCATATATAGCATTAAACAAAACTATTGCACTGTGTGGAGGGGGAATGTGACAGAAGTTCAAGATCTTAGTATTTAACCTCCATTCAGAATCTACATAATGAACCGTGAGACAAAGATATCCTTCTGTAGCACAAGAGGTCCACAAATCACAAGTCAAACAAAGCCTGCCCGGAACCTTACTCAAGATAGTTTTCAATTTTTCCTTTTCCCTCTTATAAATCTTCAAACAATGTGACTTAGCAGTATTCCGAGTAAATGACTTGAAATCATCATTCAGGTAGGCCATCACATCCTGAAGACCGCCATGCTCAACCAATGCAAATTCATACCCATGTTTTATGATAGCCATAGCCATTAGCTCCTTAAATCTAGTTTGATCTATTTTTTTTGAGCTTCCAACATTCGACACTGGCACTTCAATTGCACGTCCAATACACTTACGACTATGACGAGTGAGATTAGAAATACCTTTACCAGCCACATAAAGCTTGGGACAGTTTTTGCATTGTGCTCTTGATTTATTGTCTGCAAACTGATTCCCAGGGATATAAGTAAATGTCTCCCATGCCTTAGAAGTTCTTTGTCGCTTTCTCTGAACACTTGTTCCACCCGTAGACATCGACATTGTTGCAAAATCAGCCTCGTCTCCGGAACTACTACCATCATCATTTTCCGTAACATTCATTAGTTGACTTGACATCCTGAAATCAGTCCAATTCCATGACTTAGTTATGAATGCACAACTGGAACAATTGAAATAAAATTTCCAGCAACAATTTAAACCTAGCAACTAAACCAAATTGCAACTAAACCAAGCTCCAAACATAAGGCTCTGTTCTACTTTACTATATAGAAACACAAACACTACAACAAACTACAGATCTGTTGAAAAGGAATTTGTAAACCTAAGGTGGTTCGACTTATCATACTGTGCAAATCTCACAACTATCCCAGATCTGTCCATGGCTACACATCTGGAATCACTCAAACTTACAGGATGCCAAAGCCTAAAACTGAAGCATATGTACCTCTACCATTGCAAGAAAATCAAACAATGCCCTGATCACAACCCTTCCCACTGCTATCTATAAAGTTAAACAAGCCCATAGCATAGAGAAGTTTCGTTTGTGCCAAGAAATTCCACCGCCAGGTTCAAGCTATCGTGATCATCATTCCCTCCCTCAAATTGCTCATCTACAGCTTAATGCAACTAAACCAAGCTCCAAACATAAGGCTCCTGTTCTACTTTACTATTGAAAAGGAAGGTAAACGAGGGATGAATGAATTGTCTATCAAATTCCACCGTCGGTATATATACCTGCAGAGGAGGAACTACCTGCAGAGGAATCAAACTCAAACGTAAACGGGGAACTACCTGCAGAGGAGGAGAAGAAGAAGAAGCTGAAACAATGTTCATAGAGCTAAAGCAACAAGAAAACGAGAAGAAGCAGCAGGAGGAAATCCTCGATACGATCCCAACTTATAACATCAACCACCCATAAAAGACAAGAAAATTCCACCCAAACACCATAAACAGGAAGGTAAATGAGGAAAAGGGGTAACCGTACAAGTCGCTTTTGGAGAAGGCGAACAAAATTTCTTCGTGGGTTTGGGCGAATGGAGTGATTAACCTTCCTTGTTGTGCACTGAGTCCAGATGAACACATCACAGGAATCTTCACTGCTCTTGAGATTGAGTAAGCAGCTGCTAAGGTAGGCGTTGCCTGTACAAGGTGAGTAATCATCAGTATATCATGCCGCGATATTGGTTAGGCATTGCGAGCACAGCGTTATTACTACCTTCTCAATCAAACCCAAAACACCAGATTTGGAAGGTTTTGAGCATTTCCCTCCTTCAGTTTGTATAATGTCCACACCTTCTGCGAATGGAGAGGAAGGCAAGTCCTGACTTGGTGAAGGAGGCGACGAGGTGGGTTTCGAGATAGAGAGGGAGGGAGGCGGCGAAGACGCCGTCGATCGACGGTGACCTTGGGAGAACAAAGCGTTGTTTGGAAGATGGACAGAGAGGCCGGTGGTTTCAAGATGGACAGAGAGGCGGCGAAGACGCCGCCGACGTTGTGCGAACCAGTGGTGTTCAGAATCGGAATTTCAGATTTGGAGGCGACGAGTGTTTTGTTAGAATAAGGGTAAATAGATCTGTTTTGTTTTTCTTTTTGGACACCGTACAGTTTAGGTTAGTGGATATCCATGAATCCAATCCATTTATCCATGGATTAAATGGATTTGGACTAAATGGATTTGGATCAATTTAAATGGATTTGGATCAATTTAAATGGATTGGATTGGATTGATTTAATGGATTGGATTATTCTTGCCAGGTCTAGTTGTGACCAATCTTTGTCTGCCTCTAGGGTGGGCAACGGGAAACGGGTATTTGAGTATACCCGTACCCGTCCCGTTTTTAAGGGTTACGGGTACCCATATTACCCGCAATATTTTAAACGGATGAGACTTGGAATTGTACAGTCCTAATATGGGTACCCGCGGGTTACCCGCTAATACCCGTTTGGGTAATATGGGTACCCGTTCTACCCATTCAAAGTACAAAGACATATTTAAATTTAATTCAACCTAGGCCCAGCCCAATTCAAAAATAATTTTCGGCCCTTACCCACTGCATTGAGAGTCTGAGACCGTGAGAGTTGACTTGAGAGTGGACGCGCAGCCCTAGCAGCTTCTAGAGTCTGGACAGTGGACGCGATCTAGCTTCTCTGGACGACTCACGACTGGACGCGCAGCTTCTCTGTTCTGGGAGGTCGGAGGAGTCGTCTTCGGAAGTGAGAAGCGGAACCTTCATTCACCTATCGGCGCCTCCTTGGCTCCTTCATTCACCGCCGCCGCCTCCTCTGAGCTCTCCCACTCAGTCCCTCTCCTTTGCGCAGCCGCCGCCTGCCCGCCTCCATTCCACTCAGCGACAGCGAGGCTTAGACGAGCAGCGGAGCTCCAGCAGCAGCAGGCTTCCTTCTCACCCGGCGGCCAGCAGCAGCAGCGAGGTGAACTTCGGCTGTTTACATTTTACAATTTGATTTACTACAGTACACAGTGAAGAACTTTTGTTTACAATTTGATTAAAATGTTTAGAAGTTCTAAACATTTGAATCCCTACAGTACACAGTGACACAATTCAGTAATTCACTATAATTTGAATCCCTAGATCCATGTTAGGGATCATGGTCCATGGATCAGCAGCGAGGTGAATTGATTAAAATGTTGGCCGTAGCCGAAGTGAACTTCTGTTTACAATTTGATTAAAATGTTGGCTGAAGCTGAGTATTTGTATAACCATCTGTTTGATTAAAATGTTTCTAAATTTAGACTGCAATTAACATCATTCAAAGTGAAGAACTTCTTCTGTTTAATTACTTTTCTTCTATGTTCATCTTCTGTTTAATTGTTTGAGATTGAATGTGTACAGAATGTCCATATATATCAGGCCTTCTTTGGTTGCTTTCTAATTTTGTATTGAGTTACTTGTTATAATGTTATTTCTTGTGCTAATTACTAGTTAGGTTTCTAATTTCCAGCATCTATCTTTTTGGTTTCTGTTGATTTGGTTTCTAGTTTCAATGGCTAGTCAAGGAAATGAAGCCAATCAAGGGAATGAAGCCCCTCAAACTGAACAAGCAAGTAACGATGTGGGTATTGGTAGTGAAGAAAGTGACAAGGATACATCAGCGTCTAGAAAGCGGAAAGCGCCTGCCCTTCGATCACCGCATTGGGTCGGATACTCGGTGTTATTAGTTAAAGAAGGAAACCCACCTGTTGAAGTTCGTAAAGCAAAATGCAATCGTTGTGCAATTACCATTGCTGTTGGAAACACCCATGGCACCAATGGCTTGAAGAATCATAAGATCTCTTGTGACAAGAAACATTTGGAGCAACTTAAACAAACAACTCTGAGTTTGCAGCCTAGTGCCTCCGGGGACGGAGCAGGGGGAATATCAACTTGGCGATTCAATCAAGAAGAATCACGGTTAGCTTTTGCAGAAATGATTATGCTTGACGAGCAACCGTTCAGATTTTGTGAAAGGGAGGGCTTTCGTCATTTCATGTCTCGAGTTTGCCCCATGTTCAAAATCCCAAGTAGGAAGACAGTGAGGACAGATTGTGCAAAGTTGTTCATTCAGAGAAAAGATAGCTTGAAGTCCTTCTTTAAAATTAAAGGCATGGGAAGGGTTTCAATCACAACAGATTGTTGGACATCGTTGAAGAATGATAATTATATAACTATCACAGCTCATTTCATCTCCAGAAGTTGGCAGCTCCATAAGAAGATTATATGCTTCAAGAAGATCACTAGTCATAAAGGGGAGGACATTGCACAAGCGGTACTGACGTGTTTGAATGAGTGGGATTTGAAGAATGTACTTTGTTGCACAGTTGATAATGCTTCGGCTAATGATGCAGCTGTTCGCCATATGAAGGAGAAATTTGAAGAATGGGGGACAAGCATATCAGGGGGGGAGATACCTACACATGCGTTGTGTAGCCCATATCACTAATTTGGTTGTTTCTGATGGCTTAGATGAGATTGGGGTATCAGTGAGAAGGGTTAGAGAAGCTGTGAGGTGGATTACTGCCTCGCCATCTAGAGAAGAGACATGGAATAGACTATAGAGCAACCAAGAGCATGAACATCCAGTGCAAGAGATCACTAAGTCTTGATGTACCAACAAGGTGGAACTCAACATATCTAATGTTAGAGTCCGCTGAACCATTCGAGATTGCTTTTCCAGTTTATGCAGGGATGTTGCCTACATTTGAGACTGAGTTAAACAAAATCATGCACCGTGGTGAGGTTGTTGGTCCACCTGGACCGGAGGATTGGGAAAATGTGCGTTGGATGATGGAATACTTGAAGAAGTTCTATTATTTGACTTGTCTTGTCTCTGGCACCTCCTATGTGACATCTCATCTATTCTTCAAAGAGATGTGTGATATATTTGATCACATAGCTAATGTGGAAAAACATCAAGATCCTAAGGTTAGAACAATGGCCGTACGAATGAGGTCAAAGGTTGCTAAGTATTGGGATGAGGAAGCAATGGGTAACTACAGGATGAACAAGATCCTATACATAGCTGCGGCTTTGGATCCACGACAAAAACTTAAGCATGTCCAAAAATGTTTGAAGAAAGTTTACGGAGTGGAAAGGGCGGCTTCGATGGTGGCCGAATTGAAAGAGTTGTTTTCTGAACTCTTTGAGTATTACAAGAATTTGTTGCTTCCACCTCGTCCAAGGATGAACTCCAACTCTCAAGACTCTTCTACACATTCTCGGAGTCAGGCTACGGTTAATGTTGATGTAAGAAGGCTATCAAATCGTGGTTCATGTAGTGCTATAGAAGATAGTGATGAGGAAGGAGACGACAATGATGTTTCTGAGTTGACACTCTATTTGACTGAGAGTCAATTCAAGGAGAAGCAACAAGAAGATAATGGTTCGGTTGTGGACTCCTTCGATATTCTTAAGTGGTGGTCAACTCATGGTTTGCGATTTCCTGTTTTGGCTGAAATTGCTCAGGATGTATTGGCCATCCCAATATCAACTGTTGCTTCCGAGTCGGCTTTTAGCACAGGAGGAAGGGTTCTAAACGAGTTTAGAAGTTCTTTGGCTCCCCAGATGGTTGAGGCTTTGATTTGTGGTGCTGATTGGTTGAGAAGCAACAACAATATAATTTTAATCGATGAAGAAGATGTGACTGAATCCGAACAAGAAAAGGAATACCAAGAAGGTATGGGATAGCGATTTACTTTTACTTTTACTTATAAATATTTACTCTAACTAATGCTTGTATGAGTAACTTGTTATTTGATATTTGTTTAACATAGTATTGCAATCCATTGGAGCACTATCATTTGCTGCTAGTGGAGGGGGGAATTCATCTTCCACAAGTCAGTAGAAGGTAAGAGTATCCCAGGATCTATGTATTTGATATCACCTCTAGTTGTGAGCTTCCCAGCAATCCCTCGAGCATTCAGTGTTGAACTGTTGATTCTATTATGGCTTGCAGAGTGGTTGAGCTGCAGAAGGACCAATTGAGCACCACGTTTTGGGTATGAATGATGGTGGTGCTGTTGGATTTTGCTAGTCGGAATCATATCACCAAGGCGGCCTTGAGTTTGTTGTTGGATTTTGTCTTTTGTTTGGCTGGACATTCGGCTGCCTTTTCCTATTATTTTGCTTCCTCCACTGTGAAATGAGTTTGCTGTTGGATTTTGTCTTTTGTTTGGCTGGAGAGGTGGCTGCCTTTTCCTATTATTTTGCTTCCTCCACTGTGAAATGTCTCTCTAGTTAATTAATTTTTGTTTTTAGCTGAAGCCTTTTCCAGATACGGTTTGCAGGTGCTGCCGTGCTGCTACCGGCTTTGTCATTAGCTGAAGCCTTTGGTTCGCTGTTATGCAGTGGGAAAATGGATGCTTTGGGATGTTTTGAAATGAATGCTTGTGCATACAGGGATTGAATTTATGTTTTTGATCATATCGTGTTCTTATTATTCCCCGCAAGAGCATGTTATTGTTAAAATATGTAATGTTATGTCATTTAAACTTTGGGTATTCTATGGGTAGTATGGGTACCCGTTATCCGTCCCGCACGGGTAATGGGTACCCGTTTCCCATATGGGTTTGGGATATGGGATGGACTTTGGTCTTCAAATGGGACTGGGTACCCGTTTAAAACGGGACGGGTATCCCGTCCCGTCCCGTTGCCCACCCCTATCTGCCTCTGCCCCCAATTTAATAGGGTTAGTATTTTCGCCTATCCCAAATATTGCACACACTATCGTCCTAATCAAATTTTTTAACTATAATATTGTGACCTAAAGTGGTGGCTATACGATCCGGTCCTGCTAAATTGGCTCGAATTGACCTTATATCCACTGTTTGCGATTGGTTGCATATCCTCTTGTCCAGACTTAACCATAGTTTTACACTTATAAAGGTCATGGGTGGCTTGGGGCCGTTGTGTCTTCCAAGACATGCCCCTACTTCATATTTCATGATGGGTGGCACTGACATGCCCCATGTCCAGACTTGGCCATACTAGCATGCTTATCACAAACATGTGC